AGAAGCGGGCTACCTTCTGTTACACCCCCCCCCCCCCCAAACGTAACACTGCAACATGCGGCAACCAGTTTGAAAACGAGCTTCACGACCTGAAAAACCTCTCCTTGTAAGGGTTGCATACATTGTCCGAAGGAGGAGACCGAGTGACGGTCGTGATCATGGATCCTCAGGATCAGGGCACATCATAAGATTAACGAGGGGTCTGTGGCAAGACAATCGTAATATGCCCACCGGGCGTAGCGAGAGACGTCGCGCCCGACGTACGAGTTGCTCTGCCTGGCTGTTCGGGTTTGAGTGTCCTATACAAGGGAATATGGCTGTGGCCCGTAGTGGAGTCTTGTCTTTGCTTGAATTCATATTAGTGCCGCTGTTTCAATCGGCAAATTAATGCACATCGAAAACTCGCCGCCCGTGGCAGCACGATACCCCGCGCGCAGCGACGCGAAGAATAACGATTGTCTTGTCCATCTCCTGACTAGGGAGGGTATGAGGAGAGGTGTTCATGAATTTTTTCTCCTCTGAATGACGTGCCCTGCCTCAAGCCCTGCTATTATTGTAATGTTGACCATTTCAGAGTTCTATGTTCACATTTTTGGAGCCGCTATCGTTCACAGTTTGGTTGTCTCTTATTGGTGCCTACCTCTCGGTATCATTTATTATGTACCTCTTGGCAAGATTTAGTCCGTACGAATGGTGAGTTTGAAGCGTTCTGGTGGAGGAGACAGAGGTGAAATGAGCGCCTGCGCTTTAGGTACGACATTGAGAAGATCGATGAACGTGACCGAAGTATTGAGAATCAGAAAAACCAGTTCAATGTGTTAAATTCGCTATGGTTTGCTGTCGGTTCGCTGATGCAACAAGGAAGTGACGTCATTCCACGAGCGGCTGCCACACGGGTGGTGGCAGTGATATGGTGGATGTTCACCCAGATACTTATTTCCTCATATACCGCTCAATTGGCAGCATTTCTTACGGTGGAACGGATGGCTACACCCATCGAAAGGTGGGAAAGAGGTTTTAGCCCGAGTCTTCCACGGTTGTTCTACAAAGCGCTCGGAGGTTCATTTTCAGCACCGCAGATCTCGCCAGTCAACAGAAGATTCGATACGGGACGCTGAAAAGCGGTAGCACGATGGACTTTTTCAGAGAAAGCCGAATTCCCATCTATGAGCGAATGTAGGTCACTTACGATACATTGTGTAAATAAAAGAAAATAAACTGGGGCGCACAAGTGGCCCTCAGTCCCCCTTGATTGCAAAGCTGTTTTTCGGGAGGGATTTGCCGTACAAACGACTTCCTTCCCATGTACTGCTGAATACTCTCATAGTCCTGCAGTTATAGCTGGAGCTGAGTTGTTCGCTTGTGCCTCAAAAAATACCGCAAAAAAAAACAACAGTGTTTAGAAGGAATCCTTCTCTAGCGAGGCCAAGTCGCGTTATGTCAGCTCGTCTGACGTCCCAGCCCCGGCGTCACCGATGCAGCATGGCCTCTTGGCATCGCAAAGTGCGCACGTCCTGCCGCTGAGGAAGATTTTCCAGATTGCAACCCTCACCCCCTCAAGAACTCCCTCTTCCCCTTAGATTTCAGAGTTTTTCTCTGAAATTCTCCCCACCCCCCCCCTTCACGACAAACTGCGCTGATTAACGTTTTGTGGGGAAGGGGGGGGGGGGGTGGTAGTGAGAGCATAGGGCGCCACTGAAAGGGGCGAACCAGGGGAAGAGAAAAAGGTTCAAAACATCAAAAATGAATCATTTTTCATGGAGGGTAGTACGACCCCCACCCCCTTCCCTCCAGCTACTGAATAGGCCCTCCCCGTTTGTCTGTCTGCGTCCTCCTGCCATGATTTACTAGACCTCCTAAAGAGCTGCTCCTCCTACGCTAGAGACATGTTCCTCCTAAAGCGCCGACGGAACTTCTAGGTCTACCAGAGGGCTCAACTGAACCGCTCTATGCCCTTCTGCACCTTCAACGGACGAATTATAGCGCACATCAAGGTGTTTCAAAAACTGTATGCAATTAATTGCAACTTTTACTTCATATCAGTGATTCATGGAATTCTGCATTAGAATCACGAAGGAGCAGAGAAGGAACTGGTTTCGTGCTCATCTTTGCTAAACGAAACGTTCTGTGATAGATGGAATGCCTGTTAAATGATTCCATTCATACTGAACCCCCACCTATTGATTGTAAAAAGGGCAAACGGAGGGTTCTTCCGCAAACAATGGCATCACTTCTGAAGAAGGTTGAATGAGTAGAACTATGACGAACCTTGCACGAGCATGACGAACGCTGTATGAGCGTGTGGTTGACGCTGCATGCTCGCGAACTACTGGGTGAGCGCGCAGAAAGATTCGAAGACTTCACCCTTAATTCGTGAATGTTCAGACAAGTACTGGACAGTGTCGCGAACTGCTAATATATAGCACCTCTTCTGGTGAAATACTAGAAATTATTAGGTGCGTCATCGATAAGTTCCTTCGAAAACTCAGTCCATGTCCTAATTTGTAGAGAGTTAGTCCACGCTCAGGTCCATACTTTTGTCATCCTGTGCAAGTCTCGGTTGGGAAATCCACGTTGCGACGGCGCGGCTTACTGGCACAAGGCACATAATCCGATACTCGGTCTAAGCTGGTAGCAGGGGTGCTATATAGTGGGGAAAGTGGCGAGAAGGCGAAGTGAATTCGTCAGAAACCTGCAAGAAAACCCTTTGTTCCACAAGACTCAGCAATTTCGGACGATTTTCCCGTCGGCATCGTGCCAAGCTACGAAAGAGACGGCTGCATCTATGTACCCATATATCTATGCAGCACTGTAGCCGCCTCATATCAATTCCTTCGCTTATGCAGCGTTCATACTTTGCGACAGCAGCGGCGATGGCGGCGATAGTAACTATCATCGGTATGCGACCGAGGACGCCCCAATG